ATCCGACGCTTTGCATTGCACTAGGTGATGTAAGGCTTGGATGCAGCTGCTCGCATGGAAACCCATTCCATGAAGATCTCTATGCACTGTCGTTGTGCTAATCTGAAGGCCACATAAAGTTTGGAGGTCTTTAGGTATTGACTCTGCAGACAGTTGGTGACTTCTGCACACTGTGCGCTTCAGTATGCGCTGACCCCGCTCTGTCATTTTATGTGGCCTACCACTTGGTGGCTGAGTTGCTGTTGTTCCCAGTTGCTTCCACTTTGTTATAATACCACTAACAGCTGACCGTGGAATATTTAGTAGCCAGGAAATGTCACGGATGGACTTATTTCACAGGTGGCCACCTATCATGGGACCACGCTTGAATTCACTGAGCTCCTGAGAGCGACCCATTCTTTCACAAATGTTTGTAGAAGCAGCCTGCATGCCTAGGGGCTTGATTTTATACACCTGTGACCATGGAGGGGATTGGAACACCTGAATCCAATGATTTGGAGGGCTGGCCCAATACTTTTGGCAATATAGTGTATATATTGCTGGAAATTAAATAGTTCATAGTTAATTTCCAGCAATGTACTATTATTATACATATGTACTATTACATATTTTTTTATTATTATTATTACTATTATTATTACACAATTATTATTAATAATATTATGTTACATATGTATTATTGTTATTTCTATTATTACACATTTTGTATTATTATTACATATTTACTATTATTGTTGTTGTTATTATTATTGCACAATTATTATTTGTTATGCCATTTTTATTATAAATAATATTAGTATTTATATTATTATGAAATATTTATTGCTATTATTATTACACTATTAATATATTTATAATAATTATTATACTGGATTTACATAGCACCAACTTAATGCTCTTCGCTTTACAAAATCAACACAGTACAGTTACAATACACTTAAAAACAAATTGCTCATAACAGCTTACAATCTAAAGATCGGATAAAAGGGGCATTTGTAAAGGAAGAAAGAGGTCTCGTACCAAGAAAGAGACAGTTGTGAGCTGTGATACTGCAGATTTTATTGGTACCATACATTGGAGGAACAATTCAGGTGGCGACCAAAGTTTGACGCATGAAGGCTTTTTCTTTTCACCAATCTATAGCTCTCTCTAGTGGTTGGATTTTGTATAGTATGTTAGATGTGCAACATTGATTTCAGTTCCCATGCACTCTGCCTGAAAGTAAATGTTCGTTGATTTTGTATAGCAGTTATTTTATTATTTATAATTTATCTATTTAATAAACAGACTGTAAAAAGATACATATACCTATGTGAAAAAAGGTCACAAAAAGAACACAATATCGTATTTATATACTTCCTACTTAACTGCTTAAGAAAAAAAAAATTTTTTTTTCAGCCAAATAAAAAGGAAGTATATCAATGCAATGTAGCATTCTCTTTTTGACTTTTGTCACATGCAGTGCATTCATAAAGTATTCAGACCCCCTTCACTTTTTAAATTATGTTATGTTGTAGCCTGATACTACAATTGGTTCAATTTATTTTTTTCTCATTAATCTACATACAATACCCCATAATGAAAAAAAAAGTGAGAACAGAATTTTAGAAATATTTGCAAATTTATGAAAAAGGAAACACTGAAATCTCACATTAGTGTAAGTATTAGGACCCTTTTCCACAACACTTGACATTTAGCTCAGATGCCTCCCATTTCTCTTGATCGTTGCTGAGATGTTTCTACACCTTGACTGGAGTCCCCCTGTGCTAAATTCAATTGATTGGACATGATTTCAAAGGCACACACCTCTCTGTAAAAGACCCCCCAGCTGACAACTCATACTGTATCAGAGAAAAAGCCATGGGGTCAAAGGAACTTCCTTTCCTAGCTCAGAGACAGGATTATTGCTAGGCACAGATCTGGGGAAGGCTGCAAAAAAGCACTGAAGGTTCCCAAAAGCACAGTGGCCTCCATAATTCTCAAATGGATGAAGTTTGGCTCAACCAGGACTCTTCCTGGCTGGTCTCCGAGCCAAACTGAGCAGTCAGGGAAGAAGAACCATAGTAAGAAAAGTGACCAAGAACTCGATGGTCACTGTGACTGAGCTCCAGAGATCCTGTGTGGAAATGGTACAAAGCTCCAGAAGGACAGCCATCACTGCAGGCCTCCACTGATCTGGGCTTTATGGCAGAAAGGCTAGACGGAAGCCTCTCCTCAGTACAAAACACATGAAAGCAAGTTCACCTGTCTTACTAAGCAGTGGGACTGTACCCTCACTGCAGGGGTTAATCACTCGTTTTTGTCTAGGGGATTGGAGAAAGGAGATATACTTACCTAATCCTCTGATCCTCCCTGCTCAAGACCCCTTAGCGGTCTTGTGCAGTGGACTGTTCCATCAAGCCAATAGACCTATCTCAGGACATGAGGACATCAGGTACAGTCCACCACTAGATCATGGGGGAGCACTGTTTGCCGCTGGAGCAGAAGATCAGGTGAGTATTAGATTTCTGGTTGCCCATGGACAAAACAGGGAGTTAACCCTTGCAGTGCTGGCACATCCCAACTGCATGAGAATTTTTTTTTCTCCCGGAGTTGAGCGTTAATGAATACATCACATTATTTGTGAATTCAGCTTTAAGCTAAGCAACGCAGGGCTCTGATTGGAAGCACTGTTTCATAAACCAGTCTCAAATTCCAAATAGTAGTAGAACCTTTGCAGAATATGGCTGTTCATAATACAATTGCCAAAAAAAAAAAAAAAGATTGACTTGTTTACGGAGCCATTATTTCTCTTTTCTCCGTCTCCTGAGCTGCAGAAAGCTTTATAAATGGTAATATGTCTTGACTCTGTTTTCTTCCTGAAGGTATGTGGAGGTCACTGCTAAGCCCAGAGGAACGGAAGCCATGATGGAAATGAGAGTGGTTGCCTAGGAACCACCAACCTTCCATGGCATGTTTCTCCTGCAGCAGCCTCACCCTGATGGCTGGAGATGGAGGAGCTGCATTATTCACCTCACGTCTAGATGACATTTTTTTTTTTTTTTTCTGTTAGAGAAAAAGCATGCCAGCTATGCCTGAGAAATGGCTAACATGTAGCTTTAAAGTGAACCTGTCAAGGAGACATATCTAATACTGAAAGTCGCCATTACCTGATTCCTACATTTTTGTTTTCATTTTTTGCTGGAATTCCACTTTAAGGCTGGCCATACATTATACAATTTTCTTGAGATTTTTGGTTTAGATTTACCAAAAACCATATAATAGGAGGTCATACCTAACAACACTTTCAATTGTATCCAGTTAGGCAGGCTCTTGCATTACATAGTTGAAGGTAAATCTAAAAGAAATTGGACAGAAAATTGTATAGTGTATGGTCAGCCTTAGTCCCATTGCACATGAGGCCATCTATCTGCAACGGGTTTCTCACAGCATTTTAGTGCACCCTGGTCCAAGACTGGGACAGTGGGGGGGTGCAGACCCACACAAGCTGCAGATCAGTGGCTAGCAGCCACCAGCTGCTCAGAGACAGCCACTGTTATAACACTGTGCTCCACTGTGCTCGTTCAGCCCACAATGAGCATGTGCAACTACCTTCTATTTGCTAGAAAGCAAGCAATTGCCTGTGCATGTGCAGTGCACACTTCCTACCAGCTGGATAAAGGGGGCAGAATTGGCGTAGCGTGGTAAACCCATTTATCGGCATGCATTAGGAGCAGAAGGGGCAAAATTCCTTAACCTTGCCCTGGGTGCTGAGCCACTCTGTTCCATTACCGCCCTCGTCTTCATCCCTGAATGCAAAGAGCCCTAAACAAGGGTACAGCATTCAGCCCTGTCCAGCCACAGCCTGCCATAAACTTGAAAAAAAAAAAAAAATATAAATATATATATAATTTATTTTTATTTTTTTTACTTTTTGCTATAAAACATATCCAATAAAAAAAAATCTAATTTCTTCATACATTTAGGTCAAAATGTATTCTGCTACATGTCTTTGCTAAAAATAAATATCAGTAATTGTATATTAATTGGTTTACATGAAAGCTATAGCATTTAGCTGTATATATAGTGTAATTTTTATTTTTTTTATACTAGTAATGGTGGCGACCAGCGACTTATAGCGGTACTGCGGCGGTCATTCTGACACTGGGTGGGAACTAACTGATACTCACATCCCCAGTGACACTAATGCAGTGATCAGTGCTAATAAAAAGCACTGACACTGTACTAATGACACTAGGCAGGAAGGGGTTAACATCTGGGGCAATCAAGGGGTTAACTGTGTGCTGTGTATATTTTATATTGTGTGCTGTGTGCTATTTTACTTGGGAGACATGGTGCTTTGTATCTGTCTGTTGTGCAGAGAGATACAAAACAGCATGTCCATGCTGACAGCACAGAGACTAGTGTTGTTTACACACAGGTCTCTCCCTTGTCAGCTTTGCCGACGATCACTGAGTGACCAATTGACATCCCCAGCCGCTAATAGAGCTGCAAGTAGAGCGGTGACGTGCACGCGCCCCCTACCCAGAAATGCAAATCACATATATATACGTGATTTTGCGCAGCCCTGTCGCCCTGTAGCAGTACTTCTGTCAAGTTGTTAAAGAAAACAGCACCAGAAAAAGTACAGAAAAAATGTTGGTTGATCCCGCCAGAAATCCAGCGAGATCCTAACGTCCTGTAGTGGGCTGACAACTCTAGCTCCACTGCCCTGAATCTAACGCATAAAACATTCTACAGGTGTGCTAGACCAAAAGGTGAAGGAGTCCAAACTGTTTCATCTTAAGACTCACCACTTAAATGTTCACCTTTCTAGAAAAAATAATAAATGCACATATTTTTGCAGAAAGAAAACATTGCCTGAAAAGCATTGTAATGCACGCTCAGCAGATCACATGTGCAATGTCAGGCTTCTGCATATAGTTTTGCTGCAAAAATGAAAGTACAGCATTGGATGTTAAATAGCATAATCATCAATTAATTCTCCAATCTTTTTCCAGTTCCTCCTCGATTTGTGGTGCAACCCACCGACCAAGATGGCATTTTTCGAAAAGCTGTGATACTGAATTGTTCTGCAGAGGGATATCCTTTACCTACCATTGTGTGGAAGTACTCAAAAGGTAATACCCACAACCATATCTTATGTCATAGGCAGGGCTTTCTTTCAGCAGGAACGTAGTTCCAGCACCTCCAGCACTGAATATATGTAATGGTAAGGGATGCTGGATGTGCTGGAAGGTCTATTGTTGCTGGCTGCTGGGGGATGTATTGTCACTGGAGGGGATCTATTGTTACTGGGGAGGTCTGTTGTTACTGGTTGTGGATCTATTGTTGCTGGAAGGGATCTACTATTGAAGGAGTTTGATGCTGGCTTCTGGAGGGTCTATCAATGCTGGCTGCTGGGAGATCTGTTGTTGCTGCGGAGGGTCTATTGTTGCTGGAGTGGTATTTTGATGCAGGGGTCCATTGTTCTGAGGGGAATCTATTGTTGCTGGAGGGGAGTCTATTGCTGATGGCTGCAAAGGATATATTTTACTGCTTTTTTTGTTTTTCATTAACCAATTCCATACAAATTGCTTAGCACCACAAAATGATACTTGGCTCTGTATTCTCTAAAAGGAGCAGTACTGGGAGGTAAGTAGGGGGTGGAACCAAGGAACAGTGCTTGGAGATGGAAAGAATGGGGGGGGGGGCATAGACAAGAAGTGACTCAGAAGAGGGAAGTTCCTGCACCTATTTTTTGAGAAAAATGCCCTGCTCATAGGTCACCTGTCTCATGTCTTTCCCGGAGTGAACAGGGTTAAATAAAGCAGGTGGCTAGTACCTTGCATCTATTCTGAAATCTGAGGAACATACATTGCATCTAGATGGGAAAATGGGCGTGTTGCATAGCCGACAACCATTTGTGCTGAACCATTTTGTGTTGCTAGCTTATATCCCCATGCTTATATCTTAAAGCTAGCTTGTCCTTTTCATTAGATAGTTTTCACAGCTGTTCCCCTTTGTTTGATCCAATTTATAGACTCTTCGTTTCCTCTGATCCCTATATCAAGCCAGTCCAGTTTTTTCTCTGTGCATTGGATATAAACAGTTGCCATGCCCATTCTCCTTGTAGTCCATTTGCTTCTGTTGTTGCCAAAACACATTTCTCCCATTACTTATGTATCCTGGACAGCCCCACCCATAATTTTGTTCCCATGTACAGTCTGACAAACCATCCCCACCCAGGGGCGGACTGACTATTTGGAAACTCGGGCACTGCCCGAGGGCCCGGGGTCAGTAGGGGGCCCCAGGAGATGCCCCTGGTACCTTTTTCATAGGCTTTTTTGAGTTTTTTTTTAGTTTGGGCAAGGACACAGGGGGCCCCATGATTCCCTATTGCCCGGGGGCCCCATGAGTTGTCAGTCCGCCCCTGTCCCCACCCATTGTTTTGTTCCTGTGGTCAGCCCCAATCATTGTTTTAGTCCACTGGACAGTTCCGCTTGTAGTCCCATTGGCAGTCTCACCCATTTTCTTAATCCTGTAGCCAGCCTCACCCATTGTTTAAGCCTTTGGAGAGCCCTATTATGGTTTTAGTCCTGTGGACAGCCCCTCCCTATGTTTAAATCATGTGGACAGCTTCATCATGGTTTTAGCCATGTGGGCAGCCCCATCCACTGTTTAAGGCACATGGACAGCCCCATCATGGTTTCAGTCCTGTGGACAGCCTTACCCTATGTTTACTTCATGTGGACAACCCCATCATGGTATTAGTCCAGTAAACAGCCCCACCCATTGTTTTATCACATGGACAGCCACATTATGGTTATAGCCTTGTGGACAGGCCTCCCCCCTCCATTGTTTAACCTCCTTGGCGGTATTCCGAGTGTAGCTCGGGGTAACATTTCATTACCAAAAGCGGTAACCCCGAGCTACACTCGGGAATACCATGCGGCGCTGCTCCGGCATGTGTTCTTCACTTACCTTACCCTGCGCTCTCACGATGTGTCCCCTGCAGCGTCCCCGGCCATCTCCTCCGGCCGATGCCGGCATCCGGCTTCTGTGTCCTGTCCCTGTGACGTCGGGACGTACGGGCGCCGCCGCCGCCGACGGCGGGAAATTTTAAAAATTTTAAAAAATGTCATTTTTTTTTTTTTTCATTTTACACAGTAAAACATTGCTGTTTCAACCAATTTCACATACATATTGTCCCGAGTGCTTTGTCCTGCGCCCTGCCTGCATTTTGTCTGTTCTTTCTGCCTGGAAACTGAGAAATGTCCATGGCGTCCAAAAGTGTCCCTTTAGGTCAAAAGCGGTTTAGATCAGCTAGAGAACAGCGATAGTAATCAGAACCACTTGCAGAATTGAGTGATAATGATTCGTGGGGGAAATTCGTCATCAGAAACTGAAAACGATTTTGCTACTGAGCTCAGCAATGTGCGAACTTGGCGCTATATTTCACATTTCAGTGTTTTTGGTTTGATTATATTATTGAATTAAATTTTTTATTATTTTTATATTATTTTTATGATTATTTATTAAATTATAATTTATGATTTTGTGTTTCAAATTTTATCATACCCAGGATGTTTACTAGACTCTTGTTCGGACAGATTTCAGTGAGTTTTTCCTAAAAATTACAGCCTACAATAAAAAAAATACATATTTCCATGCAAAAAAATGGTACCGCTTTCAGCACCAAAAATCTGAAATAATCATACCGCCAGGGAGGTTAAGCCATATGCACAACTCCATTATGGTTTTAGTCCTGTAGACAGCCCCATCTACTGTTTAAGTCACATGGACAACCCGATCATGGCTTTAGTCCTATAGACAGTCCCCCCCCCCCCCCCCCCCTCATTATTTAAGTCATGTAGACAGTCCCAAAATGATTTTAGTCCTGTTTACATCCACGTCCATTGTTTAAGTCACGTGGACAATCCCAATCATAGGTAGAGTCTTGTGGACAACAACCCCCCCCCACCCCCCCCCCCACCCCCCCCCCCCCCCCCCCCCAAAATCATGTTCATGTGGTTTTCGTCCCTGTGGACAGCCCCAATCATTGTTTGTCACATGGACAGCCCCATGATTAATTCATTCCTGTGGACAGCCCCATCCACTGTTAAGGTCACATGGACAGCCCCATCAGGGTTTCAGTCCTGTGGACAGCCTTACCCTATGTTTACTTCATGTGGACAACCCCATCATGGTATTAGTCCAGTAAACAGCCCCACCCATTGTTTGTCACATGGACAGCCACATTATGGTTATAGCCTTGTGGACAGGCCTCCCCCTCCATTGTTTAAGCCATATGCACAACTCCATTATGGTTTTAGTCCTGTGGACAGCCCCATCTACTGTTTAAGTCACATGGACAACCCGATCGTGGCTTTAGTCCTATAGACAGTCCCCCCCCTCATTATTTAAGTCATGTAGACAGTCCCAAAATGATTTTAGTCCTGTTTGCATCCCACGCCCATTGTTTAAGTCACGTGGACAATCCCAATCATAGGTAGAGTCTTGTGGACAACAACCCCCCCCCCAAAATCATGTTCATGTGGTTTTCTTCCTGTGGACAGCAGCCCCAATCATTGTTTGTCACATGGACAGCCCCATGATTAATTCAGTCCTGTGGACAGCCCCATCCACTGTTGAAGGTCACATGGTCAGCCCCATAATGGTTTTAGTCCTGTGGACAGCCTCGCCCTATGTTTAACTCACACAGACGGCCCCATCATGTTTTTTTTTTTTCTTGTCGGCAGCTCAACCCTATATTTAAATTACATGGACAGCCCTATCATGATATTCTTGTGGACAGCTCCATGAACAGCCACATCTTATGGTTTTAGCCTTGTGGATGGCCCCACCCATTGTTTAGGTCACGTGGACAGCCCATCATTGTTTTAGTCCTGTGGACAGCTCCCACCTTCATTGTTTAAGTAATTTGGACAGCCATCATGGTTTTAGTCTGGTGGACAGTCCCACCCATTTTTGAGTCATGTGGTCAGTCCCATCATGGTTTTAGTTCTGCAAACAGCCCCATCCATTGTTTAAGTCACATGAATACCATCATGGTATTAGCCCTGTGGACAGCACCCCCATTGTTTAATTCATATGGACAGCCTCAGTGTGGTTTAAAGCAGAGTTCCACTCACTCTGTAAAAAAAAAATAAAAGTCAGCAGCTACAAAAACTGAAGCTGCTGACTTTCAAAAAAACAGCCACTCACCTGTCCCACGATCCTGCGGTGCCCCTGCTGCAGCCCGTTTCACCGGCCATCCTGTACTCCAGGCGCCTGCATCTTCGGTGTGGGTACCCGGCTGTAACAGTTTGTAGCTTCACAGCCCGGTACCCACTGCGCATGTGAGAGTAGCGCTGCACTTCCTAAATGGCCCTGTCGTCTTCTGGGACCTGTCACGAGTCCCACAAGACTACGGGGAGGGAGGGTAGAAGGACAACGTCCGCTTTCGATCGCCTAGGCCAGTGGTGGGCAACCTTTTTTTTCAACTGAGCCAAATCTCGCCAAAACCATGATTGAAATTTATTTTGAGAGCCACATTTTTAAAACTGAAAATACATCTCCCATATAGTAATTCATCCCCCATAGTAATTCATCCCCCATATAGTAATTCATCCCCCATAGTGTAATTCATCCCCCATAGTGTAATTCATCCCCCATAGTAATTCATCCCCCATAGTAATTCATCCCCCATATAGTAATTCATCCCCCATATAGTAATTCATCCTCCATATAGTAATTCATCCCCCATAGTAATTCATCCCCCATATAGTAATTCATCCCCCATAGCAATTCATCCCCCGTATAGTATTTCATCCCTCGTATAGTATTTCATCCCCCGTATAGTATTTCATCCCCCGTATAGTATTTCATCCCCCATATAGTATTTCATCCCCCATATAGTATTTCATCCCTCATATAGTATTTCATCCCCCATATAGTAATTCATCCCTCATATAGTATTTCATCCCTCATATAGTATTTCATCCCCCCATATAGTATTTCATCCCTCATATAGTATTTCATCCCCCATATAGTATTTCATCCCTCATATAGTATTTCATCCCTCATATAGTAATTCATCCCTCATATAGTATTTCATCCCCCCATATAGTAATTCATCCCTCATATAGTATTTCATCCCCCCATATAGTATTTCATCCCCCCATATAGTATTTCATCCCTCATATAGTAATTCATCCCTCATATAGTATTTCATCCCCCCATATAGTATTTCATCCCCCCATATAGTATTTCATCCCCCCATATAGTATTTCATCCCTCATATAGTAATTCATCCCTCATATAGTATTTCATCCCTCATATAGTATTTCATCCCTCATATAGTATTTCATCCCCCATATAGTATTTCATCCCCCCATATAGTATTTCATCCCCTCATATAGTATTTCATCCCTCATATAGTATTTCATCCCCCCATATAGTATTTCATCCCTCATACAGTAATTCATCCCTCATATAGTAATTCATCCCCCATATAGTATTTCATCCCTCATATAGTATTTCATCCCCCCATATAGTATTTCATCCCTCATATAGTATTTCATCCCCCCATATAGTATTTCATCCCTCATATAGTAATTCATCCCCCCATATAGTATTTCATCCCCCATATAGTATTTCATCCCCCCATATAGTATTTCATCCCTCATATAGTAATTCATCCCTGATATAGTAATTCATCCCCCATATAGTATTTCATACCCCCATATAGTATTTCATCCCTCATAAAGTAATTCATCCCTCATATAGTATTTCATCCCCCACAGTACTATTCCCCCCCCCCTTCTAGTAAGCCAAGTCCCCCGTGTCAATTCACTTACCTTTTGCGTTCCTCTCGCTGTCTTCCCGCGCCGTTCGGGTCTTCAGGGCGGACTGTGAGAGGAGCCTAGCTCCCTCCCCTCACGTTCGGCACGCTGCCCCGCCTACACACATTCCTGACAGCCACATCCGCAAGCCGGATTAAAAGGTCCGCGCGGACTTTTGGGGCTGCCAACCGAGAGGAGGCAGGGGAGCGGGCCATCCCGACCGAGAGAGGAGGGAGGGGAGCAGGCGCCCGGCACACAGAAGAGCCGCATTAGACTGGGTAAAGAGCCGCATGTGGCTCGCGAGCCGCGGCTTGCCGACCACTGGCCTATGGCGATTGCAGCGAAAGTTGGAGCAGGTACCTGTCGATTTTTGGGTACTCGCGTCCCCAAAGGTGACAATCCTTAATGGGGAGCGGGGGACCAATCTTTAAAGCGGAACTTCCCCTTTTGGGTGGAACTCCGCTTTGAGTCCTGTGGACAGCTCTCCTCTCGCTGTTTAAGTAATGTTGGACAGTCCCATCATGGCTTTAGTCCTGTGGACAGTGCCACCCATTGTTTAAGTCATGTGGACAGTCCCACCATGCTTTTAGTCCTGTGGACAGTCCCTCCCAGTGTTTTCAGTACCAGCAAACAGGCCCACCTATTGTTTTATTCCCCTGACAGCCCTACCATTTGTTTTAATCTCATGGACAGTCCCAATCATAATTTTAACCCCTTGGACAGCCCCATTTTAGTCCTATGGGAAGCCCAAGCAGGGGCAGACTGAAACTCATGGGGCCCCCGGGCAATAGGGGATCATGGGGCCCCTGTATCCTTGCCTAAACTCAAAAAAGCCTATGGAAAAGGTACCAGGGGCATCTCATGGGTTCCCCTACTGAACCCGGGCCCTCGGGCAGTGCCCGAGTTTCCAACATGGTCAGTCCGCCCCTGAGCCCAAGTAGTTATTTTATCTCCTTGACAGCCCTCTCGCTGTTGGTATCGGTAAGGTGAAATGTTTTTAATGGGGGACATTACTAATTCTCAAAGCATCCATAGGCAACATTGGTTGACAAAATGTCTTTCTGCTCTGGATGTAGATGACAGGTACACTTAACCATTATCATAGCGAACTGAATAGACGGGAACTAAGAGATGTTCATAAAGAACAATGACTGTAGATGTAGATGCGGCTGCATGTCTGGGTCACGAGAGCGTGTGAGTTGCTTCTGCTGTTACATTGCAATTTATTCATTCCTCCAGGAAATTGAGCGAAAAGCTTAATCACCAAACGCGCACACACTCTCTCATTACCATATTAACTGCTCAAACTGAGAAAACAGAAACACAGAGGTGAAAAGGCTACAAAACATCCACTATGGTTTACATTTTTTTTTTTATTTTAAGGAAGAAATTCTTTTCAGTGGAAGAGTGATGACTGGTTAAATTCACGAAATATTACTGCTAAACACTTTAACGTGCTTTCCCTGAGGCGTTAAAGCAGCTAATGTGCAGTCCAGTGTCTGACACCCGTCCTCCCCCTCCACTACATCATACTGATTTATAACCACGCTTATTTAAATGGAAAGTGCAGTATGCACATATTAAAGCAGTTTCCAAAACCAAAAATTTAATAGATTGCAGCTTACCAATCAATAGATGTGGTGGCTGCATTAGTTTTCTTTCTTTAGGCTTTTTTGTTCTCTGTTTTCACCTAGTGATCTGACCAGTAACACACTTCCTGTATTCTTCATCCACTCTGGATGAAGGAACACAGGGGCACATTTGGACTGCAGCATTGTCAGTCTAGGGGAGGGGAGTGTTACACAGACTAGCAGATTTAAATACACTAACACATTGAGGCTGAACTTCAGCTCACGCTTTATGATCGGTTACAGTAACTTTTTTTTTCCTTTTGGGATAAAGGTTTTTTTTATGAATTAATAACAGCTGATCATTGTAAGCACCCCTGTCAGGGCTAAATGGCTTGTCTCAATCCTCCAATGGGTACACTTGCGAAACAGCTTGTTCTGTTGAAAAAAAACAGACTTACTGGGTGGATCACCAGGTGAAAATAAAATAAATAAAGTCTAAAAAAGAAAACTAATGCAGCCAGCTCATCTAAGAATTGGTAAGCTGCAATATAATAAATGTTTACTTTTGGGTTTAATACTGAAATAAGTTCAATTCATAAAGATTTAAAGTACAACTCTGCTTGTGGTAAAAGTTGTCTTTTAAGACATACCCGTCCTGCATGCACCCCAATATTTACCTCTGTCCCCTTTCCATAATTACATAGAGTAGTTGGTCAGGTCCATCTATTTCAACCATAGAAAAAAATGGAAACCATCCATATTCAAATCCCTATACCCACAGTTAATAAAAAAAAAAGATCCAGTGATCTTCACATCCCTGCTTAGTTCTCTTCATTCTACATGTGTGCCATGGCCCCATTCAGTGGCCCACTGAAGGCTGCCAAGAGTAGCACCTCCTTCCCATAGGAATACACGAGGGCCATGAGGTGCATACACAGGATAGAGAGGACTGGGCAGATGCACTTTCAGAAGAAAGGCTGGGTGTTTCTGGCAGGGTCACACAGTGAAGCTCACTGGTACTCTAGAGCATAAGTATGTATGTATCAGACCAGGTTGGACTGCACTGGGGGGATAGGAACATGCCGTAGAGGACAACTTGTACCAAATTGCAACTTATAGCCACCAGATCTCCTACCTTGATGCTTAAAGTAGAACTAAGAGCATTTTTTTTCATTTTGGATAGAATAAGGGAGGGCTATAACCTCTGTTGATTTTTTAATTTGTGTCCCATTAGAGGGAGATTTTCTTTCACTTCCTGCCCCATAGCTAAAACAGGAAATTAGAGGAAATCCCTGCAAAGTGAGGAGATCCCTAGTAGTTGCCCCTTAATTCAGTTCTGGTGAGTACCAAAATTTGGGATTTCCTTTTTTTAATTATTATAACACAGAATTTACTGTATATAGTGTCTACAGTTTATTCAGCACTTTACAACATGAGGGCAGACAGTACAGTTACAATACAATTTAGTACAGTAGGCCCTGCTCGTTCAAGCTTACAATCTAGGAAGGAGGGTCAAGATACAAAAGGTAATAACTGTAGGGGATGAGCTGATGAAGAAAATAACTGTACAGCTATTAGGTGGGGGCATGATGGGCCTCTCTGAAGAGAAGGGTTTTCAGGGATTGCATATAATTGGACAGAGTAGGAGATAGTCAGATTGGAGTAGGGAGTTCCATAGGATGGGAGAGGCTCAGGAGAAGTTCTGGAGTCAAGCATGAGAGAAGGAGATGAGGGAGCTCATTTTTTTGAAACTAGGTTGGTGATGTAGCTGGGGGAAGTGTTGTGGATGGCTTTGTAAGTTATTGTTAGTATTCTGAATTTAATTTGTTGGGTGAACGGAAACCATTGGAGGGATTGGCGGAGAGGGGTAACAGACACTGTTGGTAAGGTGGTGATGAGTCTGGTAGTAGCATTCATGATGGATTTAACGAGCCTATGTAAAGGAGAGCCAATGATGAGGGAGTTCCAGAGATGGCCAGGTAGTGAATTAAGAGCTTTGTGGTGTAATTGGTTAGAAAGTGTGTATTTTGGAGATGTTGCGTTGAGGCAGCAGGCATTGGACTTTGATTGGATGTGGGGTTGAAATGAGGATTTAGAGCCAAGAATTACACCTAGAACCTTGGTATACAGGATGGTTTGATAGGTTTGCCATCAATCTTGACAGAGAAGGGATGTGTGGGGGAGGAAATATTAAGAGCTCTGTTTTGGATAGACTGAGTTTTCACATTTGGTGACTAAGGTAAACAGGACAAATAGGGTGAATCTCTCTAATTCCCTACTCATCTTCAGGGTGATCTGACGTGTATCTAAAAGCATATCCTTGAACATACCACATTCCCTATAAAATGAAAGCTTTTAGGTTTGCATTATAAGATCTTGGATCTGTTAGAAGGTAAGGTATCTGATACACTTCTCTCTTCTCCTGCAGGTCCTGGAGTTCCGCAGTTTCAGCCAATCGCACTGAATGGGCGAATACAGCTACTAGGTAATGGCTCCTTATTGATAAAACACATACTGGAGGAAGATAGCGGATACTACCTCTGCAAGGTCAGCAACGATGTTGGAGCTGACGTCAGCAAGTCCATGTATCTCACGGTTAAAAGTAAGAGCAACCATGTATTACTGGCTATTCCAAAATCTTGTTTCATAAATGGTGGATATTATTGGAAAAAGTTAGAAGACTGAATTGCCTCTTGCCTGCAACAACCAATCAGATGTCTGTTTTTATCTTTCCTGAGTCGAAATCTGATTGGTTGATGTGATACAAACATCTTCCTTGCTTGTTCCATTTTCCTTTCCCCTTTTGCTTTTCCCTTTTCACATCCCTTCTCTATCACTTTACTTTCAATTGAGGGATCAATTTACTGTAATGCCTGCCTCCCACATTTTACATTAGTATGCATGTGACTGTAATGAATGTTTATCTTTTTACTGTATGGAATTTAAAAGCTCATATACAGATATTTATACATCAGGCTCAAGCTACTGTAGATTTCCAATAACTGGGAAGTCTTGGCTTGCTGTCTACATAAGCTGTCTTTTATCACCTCCTGTGTAAGTCGGTGTTCAGAGTCTGCACATGCAGGTCAGGTTCTATCAACGATCTTGGCACCGTTAAAGTGTTTGTAGCACTACCCCCTTGGGGGTTGCTGTTGATTTGGGTCCCCCTATAATCCTGGGCAGGGGATCTGGCTCCTGTTCCTTTCGTATGAACAGTCACTAGTAGAGGGCTAATGTCAGGGATCACCGCGACGCACGAGTCTGCACATGCGTAGGTGTCTGACAAGACATGCAAACAGGCGGGCACTAGGACCCAGGCGCGCCTGTCACCTATGATGGCGCTGGCAGGCACTAGGACCCAGGCGCACCTGTCAGCGCCGGGCGGGCTATTTAAACCAGCCCTGCACAGACACAAGTTGCCGTTTGGTCTTATTGTCCTGTTCCTGTATTCTGATCCTGTGAAGCTTCCCGTTGCGGACCTCTGCATTTGATCCTGACCCTGCTAATTGTCTCCTGCTTGACCCCTGGCTTGACCCGACCATTCTTCTGCCTGATCCTCTGTACCACGCTGCCCGTTAGTTGCTGAACCCGGCTTGTGACCCTGACCATTCTCTGCCTGCTCCTCTGGTACCTTGCTGACCTGGCCTGCTTGACTACTCCTTACGCTACCCTGACGATCCATCCATCCCGCACGGATCTGTCCCTGTTACCAGGCCTGCCAGCCTCTTCACGTCAGGCTCTATTTCCGACACACCCCTGACGGTGCTCTGTACCACTGCCGGACGTACTGGGGGGTCGCGACCTGGTCTCAGTCTGCTCCAAGTCCATCCCCACCATCACGGGCCCTGGTGAATAAGCAGATTGGGACTTAGACCCCGCGCCCTGAGGAACCCCGCGCTGTGGGTTGCTAGAGACTCCGCCAGGCGGTGCTTGACAGCTGATCTGGTTTCCCACCAGAGTGCTCCTTCCCCTATTAGCCCAGGGGGTGCAGGTGTACTCACTCCGATTCTCTCCTGTACCACTTGCAGGTTGGCTGCTGCTACCAGGCCTATTAGCTGAGCTGCTCCTTTTCTGCCATACAGGTGGTCCTTACTCAGGGGGCCAATGAGCTCCAAGTGTTCCGCCTTTTCAGCTCCAGGCTTGCAGGCAGCCCCATCCCCCATCAAGCCTCCTGGCAGTCTTCCTCCTCCAGCCTCACATCTTCCTCTCTCCTTCTTCCACCCGACTCCACACTCTTGCCACTGAGCAGGCGCCAATACATTTAACCTCCCTGGCGGTTTTCCCGAGTGTAGCTCGGGGTAAAATTTCTATACCACAAGCGGTAACCCGAGCTACACTCGGGCTTACCATGCGGCGCTGCTCTGGGGGTCCCTGCAGCACTTACCTTGTCCTTCGTTCCCACGATGTGTCCCCTGCAGTGTCCCCGGCCATCTCCTCCGGCCGATGCCGGCATCCGGCTTCTGTGTTCCGGTCCCCCGTGACGTCGGGACGTACGGGCGCCGGCGGCTGGAAATTTAAAAAATGTCATTTTTTTTTTTTTCAATTTTAAATAGTAAAACATTGCTGTTTCATCCCATTTCACATACAGTGGGGATCGAAAGTTTGGCACCCCAGCTAAAAATTTGTATTAATGTGCATAAAGAAGCCAAGGAAAGATGGAAAAATCTCCAAAAGGCATCAAATTACAGATTAGACATTCTTATAACATGTCAACAAAAGTTAGATTTTATTTCCATCATTTACACTTTCAAAATAACAGAAAACAAAAAAATGGCGTCTGCAAAAGTTTGGGCACCCTGCAGAGTTAATATCTTGTACTGCCCCCTTTGGCAAGTATCACAGCTTGTAAACGCTTTTTGTAGCCAGCCAAGAGTCTTTCAATTCTTGTTTGAGGTATCTTTGCCCATTCTTCCTTACAAAAGTCTTCCAGTTCTTTGAGATTTCTGGGCTGTCTGTCACGCACTGCTCTTTTAAGGTCTATCCATAGATTTTCAATTATGTTGAGGTCAGGAGATTGTGAAGGCCATGCAAAACCTTCAGTTTACGCCTCTTGATGTAATCCCCCGTGGATTTTGAGTGTGTGTTTAGGATCATTATTCATTTGTAGAAGCCATCCTCTTTTTAACTTCAGCTTTTTCACAGATGGCATCAAGTTACCATCCAAAATTTGCTGAAATTTTATTGAATCCATTTTTCCTTCTACTCGTGAGATGTTCCCTGTGCCACTGGCTGCAACACAACCCCAAAGCATGATTGATCCAACCCCATGCTTAACAGTTGGACAGAGGTTCTTTTCATTAAATTCTGTGCCCCTTCTTCTCCAAACGTACCTTTGCTCATTCCGGCCAAAAAGTTCAATTTTAACCTCATCGGTCCACAGAACTTGTTTCCAAAATGCATCAGGCTTGTCTATATGTTCATTTGCAAAGTTCAAACGATGATTTTTGTGGTGAGGACGTAGAAGAGGTTTTCTTCTGATGACTCTTCCATGAAGACCATATTTGTACAAGTATCTCTTTATAGTGGAATAGTGTACCACAACTCCAGTGTCTGCCAGATCTTTCTGGAGGGATCGTGCAGTCAAACGTGGGTTTTGAATTGTTTTTCTCACAATCCTGCGAGCTGTTCTGTCTGATATTTTTCTTGGTCTTCCAGATGTTGCTTTAACTTCCACTGTTCCTGATGACTGCCATTTCTTAATTACATTCCGAACAGAGGATATTGACATCTGAAAACGCTTTGCTATCTTCTTATAGCCTTCTCCAGCTTTGTGAGCGTCAACTATTTTCAGTTTCAGTTTTCTAGACAACTGCTTAGAAGAACCCATGGTGCTGATTGTTGGGGCAAGGTCAGATGAGTCTGGGCATTTAAAACCTTTGAGATTGACAAAACCTGGTCTTCCCAGACGATGATTGAGAACAATCCATGACACTGGCAGGTCTCAGCTTGGCAAAGGGGGCAGTGCATGCTATAAATTCTGCAGGGTGCCCAAACTTTTGCAAACACCATTTTTTTGTTTTCTGTTATTTTGAAAGTGTAAATGATAGAAATAAAATCTAACTTTTGTTGACATATTATAAGAATGTCTAATCTGTAATTTGATGCCTTTTGGAGATTTTTCCATCTTTCCTTGGCTTCTTTATGCACATTAATACAAATTTTTAGCTGGGGTGCCCAAACTTTTGATCCCCACTGTACATATTGTCCCTAGTGCTTTGTCCTGTGCCCTGCCTGCATTTTGTCTGTTCTTTCTGCCTGGAAGCTTAGAAAAGTCCATGGCGTCCAAAAAGCGTCCCTTTACGTCAAAAACGGTTTTAGACCGGCTAGAGAACAGCGATAGTAAATCAGAACCACTTACAGAATTGAGTGATAATGATTTGTGGGGAAATTTTCCTAAAAATTACAGCCTACAATAAAAAACTATTTCCATGCGAAAAAAATGGTACCGCTTTCAGCACAAAAAATCGGAAGGAATCATACCGCCAAGGAGGTTAAGGGAGTCCCAGCCCCTTGCCAAGCCTTCTGTTGGGGATCGACTGAGGTCCCTTGAGAGTGCAGCCAGCCACTCCTCAGATCCACCCACTACCTCCAAGGCCTTCCTCCAAAAGCCTCAGTGCAGGGGGAAATTCCAGAGGAGCTTGCCTGCACAGTCTCTCAGCCCTGACCACAATTTGTCCCCTCTGGCTATTTCACATAAGCTGCTGCTCTTGTCTAACCATTAGGATCAACTCCCCTTAGCTAAACTAGGAGGGTGTTACATGTTACTAAACCCACAACAGTAAAATCCCCACTTATTATCAAGATACATTAGAGTCTGCTGGGTCTCTGCTAAAGGCTTTATAACATGGCAGTTTCAAGGCTGTGTAGACCCTTTTTATTCATCTTGACTTGCTCAAGCTGGTTGTGTTCTAGTGTGGGGATGTTAAATCTGTGTTCATTCAGTCTGTGACTTTTAAAATTTGTTCTTTGCAGGAGCACAAACTATCTACTTAAATCTTATGTCCCATTCACATCTAGCATCAGCAGTGTTGCAATTTTCAATGTATTGTTTTTATGTGCTTTTAGAGCGGCACCATTCATTTGAATGGGCTGCTCTCTGCTCCAAAAACACACCAAAGTAGATCCTGCACCTTTTTTTGGAGCCACTTTTTTGGGAAGCATGCTTTTGAGTGTTTTGTGCATGTTCTTTTGCATGAAAAAATGCCTGTGTCTTTTGCGCCTTTCGGGTGCCATTAACAATAATGGCACACAAATGCATATTGCGCAGGTTGCCGCGATTTTATCGTGTTCCAAAATCGTGTGATTCTGATGGCTATTCTAGAATGACTAGATGTGAACAGTCTAAAAGTTTTGTCACAAACTTGCGATTTTAAAGAAATAGGATGCAGAATGCAACTCAACTTCCCCCCCCCTTATTTTTACCCAGTTGTTTTGGTTTGTCTTTTAAGGTTCTTTTTCGCAAAAGCAAGGAAGCATACAAACCTCTGTAATGTATTAATAGTTACTAACAAAAATGCTGCACATACAAATGTAGGAAAAACAATTAATGGCATAAAAAGGATCACAAAATCTGCATGCAATATACACATGTACAAGCTATCTAT